TGAACAATTTCCGACCCATCTCAAATCTGCTGTTTTTTGGCAAAGTCCTTGAAAAAGCTGTTTACCAACAGCTTACGAACTTTCTCCAAATGAACAACTCCTTTGATGTTTTCCAGTCAGGTTTTAGAGATCCACCACAGCACTGAGACTGCTCTTATCAAGGTGACAAATGACATCCGCCTGAACACTGATGCAGGCAAAGTCTCAGTCTTGATCCTGTTAGATCTGAGTGCTGCTTTTGACACTGTCGATCATGGGATCCTCTTACAGAGACTAGAGGACTGGGTGGGCATCTCTGGTACTGTACTAAACTGGTTCAAGTCCTATCTAGAAGACAGGAAGTATTTTGTTGAAATTGGAAACTGTGTCTCAGATCACATGGCCCTGACCTGTGGGGGCCTCAGGGGTCAATCCTGGGCCCCCTGTTGTTCAGTCTCTACATGCTGTCATTAGGCCAGTTAATAAGCAGCAATAATGTGTCCTACCACAATTATGCAGACGACACTCAGATCTACGTCTCTCTGGCAGCAGGAGACTATGGACCAGTGGACTCACTTGGTCACTGCATCCAACAGATCAGTGTGTGGATGCAAAACAACTTTCTCCAGCTAAACTCTGACAAGACTGAAGTCATAGTGTTTGGTCCACAGAAACAAAGGGACAGTGTCAGCAGTTACCTCCAGTCTCTCTCTCTAAAACCTTCAAATCAGGCAAGAAATCTAGGGGTAATAATGGACTCAGACTTGAACTTTAACAGCCACATCAAATCAATAACATCCGCAGCCTTTTACCATCTAAAAAACATAGCAAAAATCAAAGGTTTACTGTCTAAAGCAGACTTGGAGAAACTTATCCATGCGTTTGTCTCCAGTAGGTTAGATACTGTAATGTTCTGCTCACTGGTCTCTCCAAACGAGCTGTGAGACGCTGCAGAACATCCAGAACGCTGCAGCTCGGGTCCTTACTCGAACTAGGAAGTACGAGCACATAAGTCCTGTGCTCAGGTCTCTGCTCTGGCTCCTGTGGCTCAGAGAATAGACTTTAAAACAGCTCTGCTTGTACAAGTGTCTCCATGGCCGAGCACCAAAGTCCATCTGTGACATGTTAGTGTCATATGAACATCTCACACTCTGAGGACCTCAGGGACCGGCCTCCTGCTGGTGTCCAGAGTCACGACTAAACAAGGGGAGTCAGAGTTTCAGGTTCATGCAGCTAAAACCTGGAACAGTCTGAACATGTGAGACAGACTCTTCTGTGACGCTGTTTAAATCCAGACTCAAAACATTTCTGTTTAACTGTGCATAAAACTGAAAGGTTTTCATTCCGCACTCTTCTCTCCAATTTATGTCTCTCTTTTTTAATTTTAATCTTCATGATTATTTATGTTTTTATTTGTTTTTATTATGATTTTAATGTATTTCTTATTCTGTAAAGCACTTTGAATTACTTTGTGTACGAATTGTGCTGTACAAATAAACTTGCCTTGCCTTGCCTTGCCTATTAAAATATCATCCGCATACAGGGAGATATAATGGGCTGTATCATGGATTGTGATAGGCGCCATTTTTCCTGATTGTCTTACTAATTGCGCAATAGGTTCCAAAGATAAACAAAATAAAAGTGGCAATAGGGGGCAGCCCTGGCGTGAAGAATGAGACACAGTGAACCTGGATGAACACACATTACCCGTTAACACAAGTGCAGTGGGATTAGTTTATAAGGTTCTAATCATATTAATAAAACCAGACGAAAAACCCATATGCTGCAGCACATCCCACAGATAGTCCCATTCCAGCCGGTCAAATGCCTTCTCAGCATCAAGTGATAGAATGGTGTTTTGATTTGTAGATTGGCAGGATGATTCTATGATATGGAGAAGGCGTCGAATGTTATCAGAGACTAATCTAGATTTGATAAAGCCAGTTTATATGTTAAACGTTAATATTTTTTAAAGATTTTTTTTTTTTTTTGGTGAAGGGGTTCTCTTCAAAATGAAATATTGGGGATATAAATTACCATAATTTATTAACCCTTTAGGTGCCAGTTTTTGCAATGTACCACCTATTACCACCTATTGACAATTTGAAAAAAAATGTGATAATTCCATTATAGGCATTTTTTTTTTAACTGATTGGCCAGTCACACTATGATCAGTGTGACACTATGACCAGTGTGACTGGCCTATCAGTGGATGTTAAGTGTGAATATGAAAATGATATGTAAATCATCTTACATTTTACATAATTGTATGTGGCAAAAGCAAACATAAAATAAAAGGAAAAAACATTTGTAGGCTTTTAATAAAAGGGGGGATCTGAAAATGTAATATATTTTATATTCCCAATATGTCATTTTGAAGAGAACCTCTTCACAAAAAAAAGAAAAAAAAAAAGAAAAGAAAAATATAAATGCTTGATGATTTTATGGCAGTTTAAAAATCAAAAAACACAAATTGTCCTGAACACTCACATTGTACACACATTACACACATTTTGAACAAGGAACAGTGGTTAAGTTGCCACACTGTTGGTTTTTTTTTTTTTTTTCAAATACACTGGGAGGAGACCTGTTAGACCTGTGGCAGAACAATACAGCGCTGCTCTGGCACACACAAGGTAAGAGACGCTCTTCAATACACTTTAGCAATAATTATAAATGTAAAAAATGGTTTGACACAGGTTTGAATGTCTGGTTTAATTTTGTTGACATGTTTGGTACAACAGAGATGCACAGGGAAAATTAAAATAAAAATGTTTCCTCTTTTTTTTTGAGCTAAAACTGCAAACTTAGAAATTGTTATCAACAAATCTTGTTGCTCTTGTTTTGTACAAGATTGTAATGTTTGGTGCTACTTTAAAGGGCCATTTGTAAGTTCCTATAGGAGAAAATGGCATTTAGAACCAGAGGGGGAACTACTCAGTTACATTTAGGCTACTTGAGTAACTTTTTATATAAATACTACTTTTTAGAGTACTTTTCTGCCAGCACACTCTTAGTCCTTCTTGAGTAATATTTTATTGAAGTAACAGTACTCTTACTTGAGTAAAAGCTGTGCTTCCTCTTCCCACTGTGAGTGAGTCTAAAGTGACAGAAGCTTTATGTGGACAACAGTGTGCGTGACTTTTATGGATAAGCAAGCAGACTTGGGCTGGGTGGACATAAATATTTAGTCGATAACAATTGAATAACACCACTTTTCATACAAACTGCATTATAAATGAGTATATATATTTATTTTTTTGGGGGGGGGTCACGTGAGTGTGTGTGTGTGTGTGTGTGTGTGTGTGTGTGTGTGTGTGTGTGTGTGTGTGTGTGTGTGTGTGTGCGGGTGTGGAAAGGGCATAAAGGGCGCGCTCACCTTGGCCAGGGCGGAGGAGAGAGGTCGGCTGTGTAGCCGTAATTTTTGTTGACCGCTATTGCTTTTGTTTCTGGTTTTAATATATTCCTGCTCTTTGTCCATATATGCACGTTGTCCCTGTGATCCCAGTTACATTAAACCCATAACATAAACACATACTGGATCCAGCCTCTTTTGTTTTACATCACATTCAGCGTGTCATAGTTTTTACTGAAACCAATTCTAGCTCTCTGTGGCTCCCAGGAAACAAAAGTGTGGTGTGGTTCGATATTTTAAACTTTTTTTAAAATAAAACTGAAAAGTAGGGCTTGTGAAAATATTCACCCTCTTCCTAGTCAATACTTTGTAGTAGAGCTCCACCGATATATTGGTTGGCCGATATTATTATTATTATTGCTGATATGGGCCGATATTTCACGTGGCAGACGCGTAGCATTCGGCGGTGACGGTGTCAGCGCCCCCCCCCCCATTTTAAAATTATTTTGATTTGCGCATTTCACTTCAGGCTGAGGGCACAAACTTTAGCGCCCAGACCAATGACATCACAGTCTCTGTTTATTTAGTGGAGTGTGATTGGACAACTGTCCTGTCACTCACGTCACGTCACGTCAACCTGCTGCATCAACTCGTAGCTGCTTCACGATTAGCGGCAGCTGCTACTTTAATCCTAAACTTCCACACAGGAAATGGTGAGGAGAGAGCCAAAGAGCGACACACTGACAGACCCGCCGCCGGGACCCGGGACAGTCACTGCCGGGATTGGGGCAGCCGCTCGTTGCTCTATTCGCCTTTGCCCGCTTGTTTCTGGGTGTAAAGGTTTGACCCGAGCGTTGCGCGCAGAGGCATAATTCTACCTGGTGTCCTGGTGCTGATATGGACTGGCTGTAACTTTCAGATTGAAGTGGGAAATGGGATTAAGACTAATTTTACAACCAGCTTGTGCACTCAGCTCCCCGACCTCGCGTCATGGACCTGACTGGAACAGGATTTGGACCAGTCTTTTCATACTGGACAACAGACTTTTGGAGACAGAACCAGTGGGACAGTGGATAGAAGAAACACTTTGCTTCAGTCTCTGAGAAGGTAGAGGCTTGTTTTCATTAGTTTGCGGCAAATTTTAACATGGAGCCTCACAAATGTAAAGTGTTATAGTTTTAGTTAAATAGTGTTATAGTGTTAATAGTTAACCCTTGTAAGGTCTTCGGGTCTGTGGGGCCTGTTTTCAGTTTTTAACTTCAGAAAAATTATACAAAGAATTATTTTTTCAGCCTGAGATTATTTGGCCTTGGCTCATTTTGAGTGAGGAACATGAATCAGAAAAAAAAAAAATTATTGACCCCCCCTTGATTCCAACTCCTTCACACTTATATTACATACAGGGTCTTCGGGTCCACTGGACCCGGAGCTACTGAAAGTATGAAAATCATAGCTCCTCATTTCCCCTTTCTCCTCTTTGGGCCTGTGTGTGTGTGTGTTGTGTATGTGTTGTGTGGTGTGTGTGTTTTGTATGTGGTGTGTGTGTGTGTTGTGTGTGCACCCAACACTATCTGCACCCACATCTCACCCTCTGAATGAATAAATGAATGAATCTAGGGTTCCCATAAACATCTGTCAGTGAGAATCCCAATCACAACTGATCATGATGGTGAAGAAATTCTCAGTTCAGACTGCGATGGAACTGATTCTAGAAGAGACAAAGGGTTTTGCTGGTGCAGCTGAGGAAGATGTCACTGAGAATGAAGAACAAATTTGTGAAAATTCAGGGTCAGAGAGTGAGTTTGAAGAGGAAGGAGACAGGAGGGTGAAGATCAGCCAACAGAGTCAGGAGCAGGAGCAACCATGAGCAGCCAGCAAACACAAGTGGACCTCAGCCATAGGACCAGTCTGCCAGCAGCTGGTCCAAGGACCAACTTATGAGAGGTGAGCTGGTGAGCAGTGAGACATAGGAGGGGACAATGTATGATTGAGAAAAGATGGAAAAATTCAATGGTGTTTCACTTCAAGACACCCGGCTTCACATGGCTGCCAACATGATACTGAAGGCGCCAGGGCCTACACGCTCGGCAGTCACACATGTAGATGACATCAGGTCTTCTTTTGACATTTTCATGCCACCCCAGATCAATAACATGATCATGGACTGCACCAATATAGAAGGAAGGAGTGAGGAAGGGAGGAAGGTTTTTGATGAAAGTAATTTAGATGCCTACTTTGAGATTTTTATCCTTGTCAGTGTTTTCCATGTTTTTCTGTGTTTTATTGCACTTTTTACACTTGGTGTTTCACCAATATATCGGTCGAGCTTTACTACAAAGTATTGACTAGGAAGAGGGTGAATATTTTCACTTTTTACACTTGGTGTTTCACCAAGTATAAAAAGTACATCTGCAATAGACACAGTGAAACTCTGCCCCTCGTGTGATATAGTCTGTCATGAAAATGTCTGTGTTCAGTGGAATTAATGTGTTGTTCAGAGATGTTGTGTAAACTCACCTGTGTAAGTTAAATTTCTGCTACACTCAAATGAATAGTTCACTATAGTGTTGTGAGAACTTTTTTCATTTGTACATTGTTTGATTATCATCCAGTCATGGCTGTTATATGATGCATTTCTTGATTTTATTCTATTTTAATAACCCTAACCTTTACAAAAACGTGTGGCCTTTTTATTCATATGTCAGGCCTTATTGTTTTTTACTAAACCTGAGCCTTTTATTATTGTCTTGTGTGTGTATCGTCTACCACACAGCCTCAACAACTATTGCAGCTAATAATAATAATTTTAATATAATAATGATAATAATAATAACACATAATTAGCCTAATACTGTTAAAGAAAAACATGTTTGATAGCATTTCTGCTGTGTATGACTCCACCGTGTTAAAATATTTCTCAAATGGTAGTGCCCCCCCTGCTGGTGACCCACGCCCCTCCAGTAGATGTGCTCTGACACCGACTCTGCGTACAGATCACCGTCAAAATACACAAAGCTTAAAAAACTGCACATTTTTCTTAAGTGCACTAACTGATTGATATTTATGTGCTTCAGTTTCTCTATACTGTTTAGAGAAACTAACTCTAACCCTTAATCTAACTTTACAGCTCCTTAAGCTGTAGAGTTAGATCCTATGCAAAGTGAATATATGTTTGTCGCACAGGGATGGGTCGAGATGGCGTAGGCTGGAGGGAGGGGCCCAGCGCCAGACTTGCACCGCGCAACTACGCTACTGTCACGTGGGCATGTTATACCTCGTTATAAAGATTAGACTCTCTATGATATGTTCATTTAATCCAATTTACAGACAGATAAATGTTCTAATATGTGGCTCCACATCAGTATTTATCTGCGGAGTCATTTGTCTGTGTGTGTGTCCGTACTGTCCCTGAACACACGTCACTCACGTCACTCACGTGTGTTTGTTTACACCCACAGACATAGATCCATGTGCAACACTGAGATTATTTTCTTTTTACGGACAATCGGTTTGAGTCTGGATTAAAAGGACATTTATTAGTGCAGACTTGTGATGTGGGAGGAGCCTGTGTGAGGCTGAGTGTTGGAAATATGTCGAATCTGAGCTAGTTTTGGTTCTTTCTCATTGGTTAGTGATTAGTTGCTGTGTCTCTCACACATAAACAGGCTGTTTTCTGTTGGTCTATTGTAAAGTGACTACATTGGTCGTATATTTGTTACTGGACCTGCACTGATATGTAAATGATCTGTGAATAGACGTGTGAATGATCCACATTTATGCATATAATTAATTATCGCATTTACGGCTAAAGGCTAACAGTGGTAGTTTCTTTAGTAGCTAGTAGTGATGAGTCGGTCGTGAACAAAGCGGCTCTTAGAACCGGCTCTTTGAAGCAAACGACGGGAGCCTGATCCTTATTGGGAGCCGTGTTTTCTCTTTCTCTCACTTTTTTTCTCTTTACGTCACGTGCAGACTCGTGGGAGTTTGACAGCGGCAGCGGCTCAAAACGAAACTTTCAGAAATCTGCATGTGCATAGGAGAGAAAAAACGTGCATGTTTGGCTGTAATTCAGCATAAAATAAACCAGGACTAATCTTGGGCTCGAGAGAGGGAGAGAGATAGAGACCAAGTCCCAACACTCAGTCCTGGTTCAGTTCTGGTTTAGTCCTGCTTGCAACAAAACAATCTGAAGAGCCGCTTGGGAGCCGAAAGAGCCAGCTACTTTTAGTGAGTCGAGCCAAAAGAGCCGGTTCTCTAAAAAGAACTGGAATCCCCATCACTAACTGCTAGAATGTGAAACAAAAATGCCATTAGTCTGACCTACTGTCTGTAAATATGACGTAAAGAGGCAGAATAACAATAAATGTTGCCTAAATAAACCCAATTTAAAATGTACTACAGCCAAACCTAAGTTTTTTTGAACAATTCAAGATTTACTGTGAATTTTTACATCACTAAATATATTGGCGATTATATCGGCTATTGGCAGCTCCAACCCCCATTTTATCAGTATCACATCGGCCACAACAAAATCCATATCGGTCGGGCCCTACTTTGTAGAACGGCCTTTTGCTGCGATTACAGCTGCAGGTCTCTTGTCTGTATCAGTTTTGCACATCTAGAGATTGACATTTTTGCCCATTCTTCTTTGCAGAACAGCTCAAGCTCTGTCAGGTTAGATGGAGGGTGTTTGTGAACAGCAGTTTTCAGATCTTTCCACAGATTCTCAATTGGAATCAGATCTGGACTTTGACTTGGCCATTCTAACACCTGGATATGTTTAGTTTCGGACTATTCCATTGTAGATTTTGCTTTAGGTTTAGGATCATTGTCTTGCTGGAAGGTAAACCTCTGTTCCAGTTCTCAGGTCTTTTACAGACTCCAACAGGTTTCCTTCCAAAATGGCCCTGTATTTGGCTCCATCCACCTTCCCATTAACTCTAATTATCTTCCCTGTGCCTGCTGAAGAAAAGCAGCACATTTTGTTCCACTTCATGATTGTGTTCCACTTGGTGTTGATTCTTCACAAACAATTCCAATTTTATATCTTTATGTTTGAAGCCTGAAATGTGGCAAAAGGTCAAAAGGTTTAAGGGGGGTAGTACTTTGACAAGGCGCTGTCCATACACACAAACACTGTGTATGTGCTCCACAGATGAACACCTCCTCACTGAAGATACTGGTCCTCCTCACCGGCTTCTGCTTAGCCCTGGTGTTCAGTTATCGATCCTGGATCCCGGCTAACCCTGACATAAGAGAGGCCGGCAGCTCACTCAAGCCCTGGTGATGACTTACATATAACTTATAACTATATTTAATGGTAATTCAGTTTATCTGGAGGAGATCACAGGGGGAAGAGGAGCAGGTCAGAGTTGCAGGAGAAGGTAGAAAGATCAGAAGCAGGTAAGAGGAGCAAGAGGAGGACAGGAGAGCAGAGGAGTAAGAGGAGGACAGAGGAGCAGGAGGAGAGCAGACGAGGTCAGAGGAGGACAGAGGAGAGCAGAGGAGAGCAAAGGAGGAGGTCAGAGGAGGACAGAGGAGAGCAGAGGAGAGCAAAGGAGGAGGTCAGAGGAGGACAGAGGAGAGCAGAGGAGGACAGAGGAGGAGGTCAGAGGAGGTCAGAGGAGCAGGAGTAGGACAGAGGAGGTCAGAGGAGAACAGAGAAGAGCAGAGAAGAGCAGAGGAGGACAGAGGAGAACAAAGGAGGAGGTCAGAGGAGCAGTAAGAGGAGAGCAGAGGAGGACAGAGAAGGACAGGAGAGCAAAGGAGGGCAGAGGAGCAGGAGGAGGACAGAGGAGAGCAGAAGAGGACAGGAGGGCAGAGGAGGACAGAGGAGAGCAGAGGAGAGCAAAGGAGGAGGGCAGAGGAGAGCAGAGGAGGGCAGAGGAGCAGGCGGAGGACAGAGGAGCAGGAGGAGGACAGAGGAGGACAGGAGAGCAGAGGAGGACAGAGGAGCAGGAGGAGGACAGAGGAGGACAGGAGAGCAGAGGAGGACAGAGGAGGTCAGAGAAGAGCAGAAGAGCAGAAGAGAACAAAGGAGAGCAGAGGAGGACAGAGGAGCAGGAGGAGGACAGAGGAGCAGGAGGAGGACAGAGGAGGACAGAGGAGAGCAAAGGAGGAGGTAAGAGGAGGAGGACAGAGAAGCAGGAGAAGGACAGAGGAGCAAGAGGAGGACAGAGGAGGACAGAGCAGAGCAGACAAGGACAGAGGAGAGCAAAGGAGGTTAGAGGAGCAGTAGGAGGAGAGAGGAAAGCAGAGGAAGACAGAGGAGGACAGAGGAGGAGAAGCAGGTGAGAGTGTCATGGAGCACAGAGGAGGTCAGAGAAATCCTGCTGGAAGAGGAAACTGAAATGATGGCTTTGGGGATCGTGTGCAGTTATAGTGAAGAGAATGGGGGGACTGACTCCTGGACTCACTGACAGTGTTTAGTGGAGCTGCTTTTCTCATGTTCTTTCTGTTCCAGGTTGGCTCCTGTGGCCCCGGGCCCCTGCCAGTGTCCGGCTGGCTCAGTCCAACTGAAAGAGAAATTTCCAAAGGATCAACTGGACCAAGTGTTTGAGCGAAGGAAACAAGAGTATGAGAAGCACAAGAACAGGCAAGACTGCTGCCTGTCAGCACTACCCTCATCTTTACTTATTGCTGTTAACATTTCAACAAGCAGCAGGAATTTAAGCAATTCTTAAAGACTCTCTCTGGTGTGAATCGTCACTACCTAAAGGTTCTGAGCTTTCACATGAGGTGTGGCCTGTCCATAAACTGAGAATGAGAAACGTGGATGTGTCCTCTGTCTGCAGGTTAAGGCTCTGGCAAACAGGGTTAACTTGTGATTGTATACATCAGGGGTTTCAAACTCATTTTGGTCCAGGGGCCGGATCAGAAAACTCATGGGCCAAAAATAACAATAAGTTCAAATATTTGTGTCAGTATTTTTAATTGATGAATTCTTTCTTTTACAAAATATTATAATATTATGAACAACCCGAAACTTTAAGAAAAATGCAATTTCAACACAATGTTTTAACATGAACTTGGATGCATTTCATAAAATTTAATCATGCTTTCATTTTGCTCATGAAACTTGGCATCTTTTAGCCTGCACAAGTGCATCAATATCATCACCATGTCCTGAGTAGCTGCTGTCTTCAGAATCTCATTCAGGTGCTTGTGTGTTGTGTGTTTAGCTTTGAGCACAGCTTTGTTCTATTAATGTTCATTTTTGAGAAAACCTGCTCACAAAGGTAGTAACTGTAAATCTATTATTTCTAGTTGCATGTCACATTAGAGGTTTTGACTGTGAATGGTGTGCGAAAAATTGCTAATTCTGTCTTCAGGTTTTAAAATATAATTAAAATATTTTAGTAGAAAATCAGCCAAGGGCCAGATTAAAGGTCTTGGAGGGCCAGATCCGGTCCCTGGGCCGTATGTTTGACACCCTTGGTATACATAGTTCATTTTAACTTGTTAATTTAAAACTTTATGGACACCATATTTTGGACTGTTAAGAGTTGAGAGGATGTTATATATTCTCCATGTATGCCCCCTACAGGAGCTCAAGTGCAATGTCCAGAGTGCTGCTGGCTCGGCCCAACTCTCCTCTGCAGTATCCCATCCAAGGAGTGAGTGTCCCCCCACTGAAGAGGCGCACAATACCAGGTAACTCCAGACCCACCAGGTCAGTGACTGCTGACAGAAAACACACAATTAGTGGGTTTATTCTGCCAGGCAGGGCTGAGAAACTTTGTCAGGTTTTCTCTCTTTAAGGTGCCACAGAGATAAGGACACAAGTAAAGATTTGATCAAAAGATCAGCCCTCTGCACTAAAACAAGGCTCGAGAAAACTTAAGAACAAATGAGGAGATGTGCTTAAAACAATACGGAGTCAAAACAACACTGAATAAAACTGCTTTGTGGTCGTGCACACAGATATCCTTTGTGGTAGAGGAAAAGAGTGGCAGGAGAAGGGTGGCAGGAGTAGAGTGACAGGAGCAAACAGCAGGGTTCATGAGAGGCACAGGCAGTGTGAACAAAGAAGGAGAGGACGAGAGAATCATGAGCAGTAGAGGAGAACCACCTGAAACATAAGAAACATGATTGATGTTTAACTCTCTGGCATAGTTCGGTGTATTTTACGTGCTTTAGACTTTTCATCAGTCGATCATTTTGTACACGTTCATCCAAATACTGTAGCATGAAATTTGGTGAGGAGGTGGTTTTTTGGATGATGTTTCAACTCTCTGCTCAATGTCCACATCAGACCATCTGTAAGCTGTGTTCATCAGATTGTCACCGTAGCATTGTTAAGCACATCAAATGTGCACAGTATTTGGACAGTTTTTTGTTCAGTATTATATTTGATTTTTTGGGCTCATTCTGTTCAAACATTTCTGCTCTAAATTTTGGTATGAACTACCTGACTTATTGTGATTCAGCGTGCAGTCCCGCCCAGCCCCAACTCTCCACTGGCACCATGTTACTACTACAGGCTAATGAACGGAGAACAACAGAGCTGTGTGCTGTACAGTTATGGAGAGTTCAACTTCAAGTCAAAGTGCGTCTGAGAAACAGTTTTTAGGGAGTAATATGTCTTCTCTTCAGCGGAACCCTTCTGCCAAGCAAGAAAAGAAGCATTAAGTTGGAATGAGTGCATCTGCTGCGGCGAAATCCTACAGCTCTTATTCTGATTCACACTGTTGCTTGTGGTGGCGACTTTCACCTAAAGCGAGAGGAGGGACCCAGAGCAGAGGACACACTGACTCAGACCCACCGCCGGGACCTGGCGCACTCCCTCACTGCTCTGTCCACCTTTACCAGCTCATTTCTGGGTGTAAAGGTTTGTCCTGGGCATAGCGCAGAGGGTTTAAGTCCACCTGGTGCCCTAGTGCTAATATGGACTGGTGTCAGTTTCCGATTTAAGTGAGATTAAGATTAGTTTTACAACCAGCTCGTGCACTCGGCTCCTAGACCGCGTGTCACTGACCTTACTGGACTGGGACTTGGACCAGTTTCATGTCTTCCTATTGGACAGTAAAACACTTTTGGAGACAGAACCAACAGGACAGTGGCAAGAGGAAACACTCTGCTTCAGTCTCTGGAGAAGAGAAGAGGCTTGTTTTTATTTGGGGCAAATCTGAGGATGGAGCCTCACAGGTAAATAGTGTTCTAGTGTTAATAGTTACATAGTGTTATCTTGTTAATAGTTCAATAGTGTTCTAGTGTTAATAGTTAAATAGTACATAAATGAGCTCGTGGGTGTGACGGAGCTGCTCTGGTGTTCTGCTGTGTGCTGTAGGAGCGGTGCTGATGCTGTGTGTTGCTGTTATGATCATAGCCTCTTATTGTAGTTTTGCTGACATTGTTGGGGGTGTTTTGTGTTGTTGGGGCTGTGTGTGAGCGGTGTGTTGTGTTGTTGGGGCTGTATGTGAGCGGTGTGTTGTGTTGTTGGGGCTGTATGTGAGCGGTGTGTTGTGTTGTTGGGGCTGTATGTGAGCGGTGTGTTGTGTTGTTGGGGCTGTATGTGAGCGGTGTGTTGTGTTGTTGGGGCTGTGTGTGAGCGGTGTGTTGTGTTGTTGGGGCTGGGTGTGATCAGGTTGTGCATTGTGCTCTGATATAGTTCAGCCAATAGTGACTAAAATGACTGTTTCTGGCATTCGTTACAATACTATATAGCCTATATATAACATATATATATTTATAATATCCATCCACCCAGTTTCTTCTTCTTATCCGGTCCGGTGTTATCTGGTGCAGTGGGTGAGTTGTTGTACAGTTGTAGGGAGTATTATCTGTCCCTCTATAGTCTGGTGCAGTGGGGGAGCAGGAGTGTCCATGATGAAGAGCAGTTTGTCCAGTGTCCTCGTGTCCCTCACTGTGATAAATGTCTCCAGCTCACAGACGATCACATGAGCAGTTTTACAGATCAGTTTGTCGATCCACCCAATGTCCCTTTTCCTGGAGCTGCTCCTCCAGCAGAACACAGAAAAGTCCAGGACGCTGGCCCCACAGACTTGGAGAAGATCTCCAGTAACTTGCAGCACACATTGAAAGACTTGAGCTTTCTCAGGAAGTAGAGTCTCCTCAAGCTCTTCTTGTACACAGTATTACTGTTGTCCCTCCAGTCCATCCTGTCATTCACCTGGATGCCAAGGTTCTTGTAGCAGTCCTCTATTTCCACATCATGGCCCTGGATGGTGACAGGCTCCACTGGTGTCCTCTTTCTCCTGAAGTCAGTCCTCAGTTCTTTGGTCTTGTCAACATTCAGGAGCAGATGGTTTGTCTGTGATCACTCCACAAAGTTTGCAATCAGTGTCCTGTCCAGTGTCCCCTCCAGCTCCTGTCCATTATACACTGTACCACCACAGAGTCACCAGAGAACTTCTGCAGGAGGCAAGACTCGGAGCTGTACTGGAAATCAGAGGTGTATAGAGTGAACAGAAGCAGAGACAGGACTAAACCGTGGGGGACTCCTACATTGACCACAGTATCAGACAGGGTGCTCCCTGTGGCACGTACTGAGGCCTGCCTGACAGGTAGTCACAAATCCAGGAGACAATGGAGGAGCTTACACCCATCCTGAACAGCTTCTCACATGAAAGGGCTGGATTCTGTTAAAGACACTGGAGAAATCGAAAAACAATTGCTAATTACTGACCCACCCCATGCTGCAATAACAGAGAAGAGCTCAAAATAATCTGCTTTGCATTTCATATTTTGGAAAGAAATCATAATTTGTGTAATTTTCAACTAAAATCAGGATCAATTCAAAACAGCAATAGTATTAAAAACTACAATCATATTTTATAGTAATGACCAGCAAATCTTCCTGGATGTCCAAATACTGTGCATGTTTTATGTGCTTAAATATATGAACATGATGTTTTTAAGCTATGCCAGATGTTTAGAATGTGTTTGTTTTTATTGCAGGTTTAGCACTGTATGCAGGAGAGCAAAGCTACTATAAGGTAAGTCTGGGTGGGGTTGGTTTGTATAGAATACTGCAGATAAAGCCAGAGCCTGGGACAAGAAGAAGGTCTATGGCACAATCACAGGGCCGGTTGTGACAGTTGTCAGTAAAAGTTGTAGGACTGGAAAAGTCTGGGGACAGAGTTCAGTCATGTTTATGAAATCTGAAGTCAAAATCTTACATATGGTTCTTTTCAGAGTTACCGCTCAAAGATCTTGAAGCACACATATTGTGCAAGAGCTTTTAACCAGGTGTCACTTCTCACTCACACACTCAGAGTGGTACTTAGGCTACGTCCACATGACAACGCTCCTGGATTTTTTTCTTTGCGGGTTGAAAAAAATTTGCATCCACACACGTGCCCGTTCAGTAAATATTCCCATCCACACAACAAGGAAGCACTGAGTGAAAATGATGTAATACATCTGCCACACCTGTATGTGGCGCTGTTACCAATGATAATAATATTTAATATTGCATATCTCATCACCGTGTTTTAAACTTTAAGGTAATTTAGCCGATTTTAGATGTATCCCAGAAATATAGCTGTTTTGTTTTGAGTTAAAGTTAAACATGCGTTTTGTTTTTTTTTTTCGTTTTTAGCCATAAGATTTGGATGAGAATTATTAGAATAACTTGGTCTCAAAATGCAACAGTTTAATTGCTCGTGCACAATCTTTGGCAATTAGCAATGGCATTTGGCATTAGCAAAACAACCCTCTGTCACACAAAGAACCCACATATTCCACTGAGTCGTGTCCTTTAGTCTGACAGATGCTGAACAGCATCAGCTCACAATACTGAGCTGTTTTGTTTAGTTTATGCAAATGAGCCATGTGGTTTTAAGTTTTGTTTATGTAAAACTTAAACAAATATGCTCAAAGTTGTGTGGATAGGGAAGACTTGCGGACCCAAAAATGACGTATTGGGATGTAGATCATTTCTGATACAGTGATACGTGGATTCGTTTCAGTGTAACCGTAGTGTTTGTTATTGATTCGTGTGCATAATCTGTGGTGTGTGTTGTTCGTATTGGCATTAACAGTGTGTCTCAGTTGCTGGGTGATGGGAGCGGCTCTGTAGGCTACACCTGTCCCATTTTGGCAACGCTCTTGTGGTCAGTGGAGGTTAGTTCGAGGGCTGTGGACTTCGCTGTATCAGAGGACCTTGGCGATGACAGGATCGTGACATCATCATTTTCCAAAAGCTGCGGTTTGCTTGTTCACACAACAACGCAATGCTGGCGTTCTCAAATTTCTCCACTCTGGAACCCGTTCTCAAAAAACTCCCGAAACGCCGTCTCCGTGTGGACAAAAGGCCAAAACGAATACAAACTTCTCCATTCTGACCAAAAAATATTGTTGTGTGGACGGCCCCTTAGTGTGATAGATGTATGGTCTGTTTGAGCATTTTTTTATTCTCCTGTAGTCAAGATGTCATTGCTCCACTCGACCCCCGTCCTCCACGGGTACACCCACTGTGATGTACTTTCTATGTTCTCCAGTTTTATTTTCTTAATCGGTGATGCACATAGGATTCGGCAGTGTCGAGTAGCCATTTTGGTACAAATGAAAAAAGCATGAGTTGCTCACTAGTGTGATGTGCAGCTCTCCATAGGAGGAACCCACGTCATGACAACAAAGTGTCAAAGTGTTATAGCGACTTCAGCTCCCACTGTACATCACAGTATTCTGGAAGTCAGTGGACTTGCTAAAAAAAAATAGCAAATTATAACTTAATGATCCACGTGTGTCACAGAATATACTGTATCTTAGAGCAGACACAAGCACTGTAGGTCTCCCATAAAAATATACACTTCTAGTCAAAAGTTTGAATGCAGTTTTTCATGTATGTTTTCTTGTTTATGTCCATGATTATTTAAAATTCTTAGTGAAGGCATTAAAACTATGAATGACACATGTGGGATGTAATACGTCAAAATACACTCAAAATATCTCCAAATTTTTTTTGGATTTTAGAACTCTTTAGATCACTTTTGATATTCCACTAATGAACCCTCAGAGAGGTGAAGTGAAAACCATTTCAGAGACTCCATCTAGAAGTTCACTAAGAGAGGGATAAGAGTTTGCAGCACTGTTAACAAAGCAAAGGGTGGATACTTTGAGGATTTCAGTGTATGTATAGAACATGTAAAAATACTGAACATAAAGATAAAACACACTGAATTGACAAATTGAACCGGTCATGTATTTTGAGCACAATATCTAAAAGTGAGGACTGAACCGTGTTGTCACGACCCCTTCTGAGCATGCCCGTCCTGTTGCATTGTTGTGGGCAGGTGACTGTGAGTGTGAGCCGAGGCATCATCAGTGTAACAGACATCCCAGAGGTGACTGTTAGCGGTGAGTATGAACAGCTCCTCTCCTTCCGTATAAAGTTCAGTCTGAGGGATGTTGGATGTTTTGATGTCCAGGTATGAGCTACAAACCAGGACTACAGAAGGACTAAACCAGGACTACATCAAGTCTTAAGCAGGGTTTAACCAGGACTACAGAGGGACTACATCAAGACGGAAGCAGGGCTAAACCAGGACTACCGAAGGACTAAACCAGGACTAAACCAGGAGGACGAGACAAAGACTAAACCAGGACTACAGAAGAACTGTACTGCAGGAGTGTCAAACTCAAATTCACAGAGGCGTGGTCAGTCTGAGTGACCTGCAGGTCCATCAGGCTGACCACGCCCACAGGATGTAACAACACCTGACCACGCCTATTGGAAATAACAACAGCTGACCACGCCCACAGGAAGTAACAACAGATGACCACGCCTACAGGATGTAACAACAGATGACCACGCCTACAGGATGTAACAACAGCTGACCACGCCTACAGGAAGTAACAACAGCTAACCACGCCTACTGGAAATAACAACAGCTGACCAGGCCCACAAGAAGTAACAACAGCTGACCGCGCCTACAGGAAGTAACAACAGCTGACCGCACCTACAGGAAGTAACAACAGCTGACCGCGCCTACAGGAAGTAACAACAGCTGACCACGCCTACAGGAAGTAACAGCAGTTGACCACACCCACAGGACATAACAACAGCTGACCACGCCTACAGGAAGTAACAACAGCTGACCATGCTTACAGGAAGTAACAACAGCTGACCACGCCCACAGGAAGTAACAACAGCTGATATACGACACATCATCACCAACACCAGGGACAGTTCTAAAGATGCAGCAGCCGAAACATGCCAACCAGATTTTTACTGTATTGTCTTTAAAAGAAGAACCCAAGAAGTTAGAATGTCCCTTGAAATTACAATGTCTTATAGAACTCTATGGAGGCAGGTGGATTAAATATTAAAACATCTTTAGGTGCAGAGAGGACAATCTTTTTGTTTCCCCATGGAAGATATAGCCAAAGACCAAACTGACCAAAAAATTAAAAATAGAAAAGTTAGTTTTGCCTGTAGTGTTGCTTCTTAACACATTCACTATTGCACCAAACAAGATGACTTTACTATAATTGAACAAACTAAAACATGTTTATGTGATGTTAAACACAGGTAACGGAACGGCCAATCTCACTGTAGAGTCCAGCAGCATGTTGGCCCTCAACACTGTCCTGGCCACAGTGTCCTACCAAAGCACTGTCTACCACGTCCACACTGCTGATCTGGGTAGGTCCCTAACACGGTCCTACACACATGCACATCTGAGGGTTTTCACTTTAAAGAGTCTAAATATGCAGGGTTTGCTGTAAACATATAATGATCCAGTGAAGATGCACCCGAAGAGAGTTGTCATGAAATGGACTGTAGTCATGTTTTGTTTTGTTTTCTCTGTTTCAGCCTCCTTTTCCTTTGAAAACCATGAAGCCATGTTTCCTATAGTGATCCGCCAGCCTCAGCTGCCAGTGCTGTTCGACATGGGAACAGGTAAGTCCACATAAAGCTCGGTGGGAGTATAAAATATTCACGTTCTAGAATCTGAAATTGACCATTGGCAAAACAGCACATGTACCGACATCATGGTAACGTCTGTGATATCACTCATGTCCATATAAGTAAGGACGCGACGGCGCAGGTTAAACAGTCATTTGCACAGAGTGATCGGTCGAGAACGCCCGCATAACACAAAGTCGTAGAACAAGCACAAAATGTCTGGAGACATACCTGCTGGACTACTGTGTCCTACAGGTGCACGGTGAAGGCTCTTTTGGACAGGTTCTGCACTGTCTGAAGCACACAACAGCCAAACCTGTGGCAGTGAAAGTCCTTAAGAACGAGGGCCAGTACTCTCTTCAGAGAGAAATGGCAATGCTCCAGCATGACATGTGCCACATTGTAAAATTCTTGGACACATTTGTTTGCAATGATGACACATGTCTGATGTGTGGTGTTTGAGATGCTGGACTGCAGCTTATACGACTTTTGGATCCAGTGCCAGAAGAGTTTACTTCTGAGTGAGATCAGCAGTTTCTGGTGGCCTTTAAGGCTCTTAGAGAGCTCGACATTGTCTACACTGATCTGAAGTTGGACAACGTGATGCTGGTCATTTGCAAAAATCACCCATTAAAAGTCAAGCTGATTGATTTCGGAGTGACACACTTGCAGTCGGAGCTGAAGATGGGGTCCACACATCAGAACCTTTATTTTCAGGCTCCAGAGGTCAGTCTGGGACTGCCTCTGACCCAGGCCCTGGACATGTGGTCCCTGGGCATCCTCCTGGTGCTTCTATACCTTGGCAAACCTCCTTTCTCTGGCTACTCTGCATACAACAACCCCAGGACCATTATTAGTGTTCTAGGATCTCCATCAGACGAGCTGCTAGAGAGAGGAAAATACAGCAGCAGCTATTATTCCAAGAGGGATTAAGGATGGACCTTTACAACACGGGACGATTATGAAACCCACACAATAGTGGAAGCCTATGATTGTGCAGGCCCACTGGAAGGCAAGGCGATTTGATCACACCCGCAAAAATTGTATTCCCTGAATTTATGGATAGGATGGAGTTTCTAAACCTTGTAAGAAGACTCCTGCATGTGGATTTCTCCAAAAGAATTACTACAAGTGAAGCTCTGCAGCATGACTTTAACAAAAACCATACTGATTATGGAAAGTTGGCCAGAGTCCTTATGGCCCAAGTTACGAGAAACGCCTCCAGAGACCCTCCATATCCCACCACAGCAGAGGTCCCTGAGGACTTGTCCAATAACATCAACAAGGAGGTCCAGGAGATGCCTTCACAACAAAATAGATCCAGCTCACAGGACACAAGGTACATATCCAGGGACTGTGAGTGTTTGGAGCCTGATGAAGTTGGTGAAGACATCCAGGAGAAGGACCACTCAGAGGAGGTCCAGGAGGAGAACTACTGGACAGAAGTTGACCACCGGATCAAGTGCATTTTTGCATCAGAGATCACTGAAGACCCTGAGAGCCAGACAAGCGACGCACCTTCCCCAAGTTCGATCTCTGAGGTTTTATAGAGTCACTATGGAGTCGGGGGAGCATCATCTCCAGATCTCCATGATAGTCCTGAAGGCCCTGTGAGCCAAGCGCAGGATGTGTCACCTCCCTGGAACAGTCCAGAGGAGGTGGTGAGTGACATCACTGAGGAGGAAGAGAGTTCCAACTCCTCTCCTCGCTCTGGTGTCTACCGCAGGCTTTCAGCGGCCAGGACTTTCTGGAGAAATGTAACTGCCTCATCCAGTTCAAGGTGTTCAAGGTCCAGGATGAGGAAGATCTTTAGTCGTGCGAATCGCAGTTCAGCCTCTAGGGGGCAGTAAGACACTTTAGTTAGTTTAGTCAATGGGCCATTATCACGCTTCCGGGTTTTGTGGGCGGGGTTTGTCGAATTTGTGCACTTCCACTTCCAGTGCAACAACAACAATGGCTCAAACGACGGCTAGATGTCACTACTCTTTTCAAATTATGAATTAATCAACACGATCAATGTATATTCTTTGTAAATACTTTGTAATAGCTTTATAATGGGCAAAAGAAGTTACTGGGACCAGTTAAAGCCCACAGCGGGAGCAGGACAAATGTAACAAAAAAGGAGCAAAAAGTCCGCTTCAAACAGGTGTTCTCGCTCTATCTTTTTTATTTTCTCATAGCATCGTGAAGTCCATTGAAGTCCGAAACGTCTCTCAAAGCACCGAGAAAGCCTGGTTGAAGCGGACTTTTTTCTCCTTTACATGCTAGCACTCGTATGCCGACGTTAGCTGGCTGAAACTGAGAGGCGAACGTTCTTCCTCTCAGAATACAAATAACATGGGTGAATTTACTTAACCTCATTTCAAAATGAATACTCTTGCTTTTTTTGGGTATGTTGGGTAAACGCCTTATATCCATACACCAAACTGACATTAGCATAAGCTAACCCTCCTGTTCTAAAGCATAGGCAACCCCTGTCCCTACATAGCGTCACTCTGACAGACCCCCGCTCCGACATACTGTCATTTCGACAACCCTCCACCCTGACATGCCCCCATTCCGACACCGATGAACCAGGACTAAACCAGGACTAATCTTGAACGAGCGAGAAAGAGCGAGAGAACCGCCATCCCGTATTGGAGGGTATTTGGCGAGCTCTGTGCCATTAGAGCGCGCAGAGCTTTACGCACGCTGCTCTGGTGGCAGATGCCAGGTTAATGAGTGCGTAAAAGTCCAAAACTTTAAGTGCGCGCACGAGGAGAATGAGCGCTGCAGCCGCCTCTTTATAAACTTTTATGGGTTTATAAGGGACTGACGCATTTCTGGGTCCCTGTGTAAGCCGCTCTGTCCTCTATGACCAGCTATAATTCTAATATTTTAGCCCTTATTCATGAAAATATCCAGATTCCTAAATCATTGATCTTTTTAGTGTCTCTATCTGACTGAGAGCCCGGCACCGCTTCTCTCTCGCCACACGCTGAGCTTCACAGGGCATTCTCATGCGCCCTGGTCTTTGGCGACAGGTAATGAATGTCTCCTGCTCCTGTCCATTCACAAAAATGTCCAAACTGTCACACTGACACAATTCAGTTTTTCGTAGTTTCTCTGCGTGGCCGTATCACTGCACCTTGAGCCAAATGCGCGTCACCGCGCGCTTCCACCTGCAGTGTCAGGTAACGCCCCGTCACCTCTTCATTCATAAAGTTCCAAATTCTTATGCATCTGTCCCTTGTAGCCGCGCTGCTCTGCTGCACTCGCAGAACCAGGACCTTTACGCACAGTGGTGCCTTCAACAATAGGATTCTGCCACTCCGACCAAAGGATAAAGAAATGTCGGAGTGCAGGGACGTTTGATAAAAAATAGAAATGCCGCTACTCTGACAATAACACGTCAATATCGGAGTGATGGTTTGTCAGATCGGCAACTGTAAAGTTATGTTAGCTAATAACACTCACCTTCATAGTCGTAGGTGAAATTTTCAAAAAATAAACTGTGTCCGTTGTCCACTTTGGAGCGGGCTGTGATTGAACGTTGATCAATGAGACGATGTACGTCGGAAAAGGATATTTTCAGTAAATTTATAAGGGATGTAGTCTATGTAAACAACTTCAGTTCGTCCATCATGAGTTCAATCAACAGAGTGACAATTCACCGGAAGTAGGCGTGCACAAAGACACTGAATGCAGAAGTACTACGTATCAGCGTGATAATAGTCTATTAACATTTTTTAAGCATCTTTTTGGTGCTCTTTGGATTTTGTTTTGCATTAACAGGTTTTTCTGTATTTGGCAAAACTAATTGTTCAAAAGGAAAATTGTTTGCCTATTGCAGGAAAATATTACTTAGCAGAGCTTTTTATTGATTGATTAACTGATTTACTGACATTTACTGTTTTGTTGATTTATTGATTGTTCATTTATTTATCAAGACATTTTAAATAAATCATTGATATTCAAATGATATTTGCTCTCAGTCTGTTTATTCGTAGGTTTGTGCAAATAAAGCATGTAAATGTTTTTTAGCAGTAATAATAATGGTCTTTAATATATTTTAATTGGTCATTTGTTCTTAATTCACTAATAAACATTGTATTAGGGTTGAAATGCTTACATCTGTGGGGATTATTATGTTTGTGGGGATTTTCTGGTGGAGGGTCTCTGTGGAGATGTTATTGCTTTGTCTGTAATGTTCCATGGTATAAGATTAAACATATACTAGCATTCATTCATTACACATGTTTCTATTGCTCATAAATACAGTAATTCCTTGTGTGAAAAAGGGCGACTCTTCACAGATCTGAATTGTAATGTAGCATAGTGCTTCAACTTCCTTGTCTCCGTCTGTGGAACATTCTAGACAGCACAATAACATTTCCATGGAGACGAGCAGGTGACGGACCCTCGACTAGAAATGCCGTGCTGTTATGACCCAGTTTGTTGGGGCCAGGGAAGTCACAAAAAAAACAAAGGTGGAAAATGGAATAAATTAAGTAATGTTTAATTAACAGGAATGTAAAAGGTAAACGGACTAAAATATATACAGAAAATAACCTAAACTAAGAAAAAACAAAAAAAAAAACAGTATTAACTTTTAACAAGTTTTGTGCCCAAAAAACTAAAAAAACAACAACAAAAAAACAGGTCACGCAGGTCTAATCCTGAATTATTATCTACATCTCTGAAGATAAAAATATTGCCACATGACATCTGTTTGTTTTCAGTTTGAGAGAAGTACTAATATTATGCAGGGTTTGTGTGTTAAATGAAGGAAATGAATGAATGAAAGAAACAAACCAAAACTCCAGGTATGTTTTTGATGAGGAAACATTATAACATGAATCAGAAAATAGCCTAACATGGGCCCTTTAAAGAAAGTAGTTTTGTGTAGGAACTTATAGTCCATTCTTTATTATCATTGTGGTTTCAAAATCTGTATTATGAGAACTTTTCTACTTCTACTTCTACTACTACTACTACTACTACTACTACTACTACTACTACTACTTGATGCATAAACATGTAATTTGTCCAACAGCTGGTAATGACTCTTCTATATCTGTTAATAAATGCCATACACAGTGTGTTGTAACTATAGGAACAAACTGCAGACAGACTGCTGCAGTAGCTCAGAGGTTAGAGGGATTTTTTGCCTATCAGAAAGGTGTTGGTTTGATCCCCGCAAGTCCTTGGGCAACACACCAACTGTACCTATGTACATATGTGGTGTAGTGATCTTCACTTTACTATGTATAGTGAATAAATGATGCAATGAAAAGCATACATTCAGTGCATTATTATTGTTATGTCAGTCTCCAATTCTAATTTAAAAATGCTTGTTTCTGTACACATATTTTTCTTTTACATTTTGAACAATAATCTTGCTCAAACTCTTCAATGGCACATTTTTATTTGAATTTCACAAATTTGAACATATTTTACACAATATTTAGTTGTAAAATGTAAACAGAATATAATGCACTCTGTTGATCCTGCTGAGTGTGCACTAACCTCAAACCAACAGGCACAGCTTAAATAGGCTGGAGCCTATTTGATAGTACGTAGGCTTTTCCAGACATTTTCCCCTGATATACTGTATCTCTGTAAATGCTGGGGTTTTCCTATCACTATTCACATAAAACAAATCTAAACTTCACTAATCCTCACAAAAGGATCATGTTTGCTGTTCTTCTGTCTCGCAGACATCAGTTCTCAAGTCACCATCACCGTCAAGACCTTCCTACGCTACAACAAACTCAAAGTTCTCCTAAGCAGCATCCGGAGCTTCTACCCCACAGTGACAGTGGTCATAGCTGATGACAGCCTGGAGCCTGAGAAGATCACTGGAGACAACATCCAGCAGTACATCATGCCCCCAGCTCAGGTAACAGCACGATACTGGACACATGTGGAACAGACTCTACCAGTCAAACACATGGACACACATTTTCTATATTATTATATTATATATTTAAAAAATAGCATACTGGTTGTATACAGTATACAGCGTGGTTTTAATGTGTTTGTGAGGACATTGTGATGAAGTGAACACTGTGTCTTACCAGGGTTGGTTTGCTGGCAGAAACTTGGCCATTTCTCAGGTCACCACCAAATACTTCCTGTGGGTTGATGACGACTTTGTGTTCAGCTCAGAAACAAAGATCGAGAAGATGGTAGAAATCATGGAGGCGGTTCCGCAGCTTGACGTGGTACGTTTGTATGCACACATGCAAAATGTTTTCTTATTGTTTTTGCTATTAATATTGCAAATTGCAAATGAACTGAGGTGATGTTCTTTTCTTGATGTGTGTGCTTTGTGGAGAATACATTTATATAAGAATGAGACTTGAGACGGGTGCTGAAGGAATATAATATGAAAACACCACAGTGACACGCCACTGTGACATGGAGAAAGAAAAGACAAGATAAGCAGGTCTGAGACAGCAGCAGCAGTGTGTTTTTTCTGACAGATTAGTGATAGGGACATAAAGCGAGCTGGACTTGGACATCAGGTTTGTCAAAGTGTGCTGACAGATTTGAATACTAAACAAAACCTGATGTGATCATTCACTCACTCCACCGTCTGTAGTGACAGCCCTTCCTGCTGCCATCAACACTCATACTTCTATACTAGGCAGGGTGGGTGCTTGCTTTGTCTGTGTGGTTTATTTTCGTATAAGAAGAGGAGACAGAGATCGAGAGCAAAAGGACCCTCCCACACTGGGTATTCATGAGAGTATATCAGTGACACAGTAAAGACTGGGAGGGTATGACTGTGTGCTATGACACCTGTGGATGTAGAATGAGGAATTAAGAGCAGCTGACTCCACACTTTTAAATCTAAATGAAAACATACACATACAGTGAGCTTTCTTGGGCATATTTCCAACACTATCCTATGCCACACGCTGCATGATGACGAAGAGAAAACCAACTTTGTTTTCCGCCAAACTCATACGCTCCATCCATTTTGATTGGGCCAAACTTTGCCAAAGAGTCTAGTGAGTCAAAATGGTCGACTGCTCTGAGCGTCTGTGTTCGTAACAATTGAAAAAGCTGCTCTAAGTGTAGATATTTCTCAAATAAATGGAAAATTACGCATCTTGGTCTGCGTAATTGTGCATCACTTGCTATTTTTATTTTCAGGTTTATTTCAGTCCAAATGTCCAAATCCAAATCTAATAAACCCCATGAAAATGCAGGACATGATGTGGCTCTGTGTCCTGGACCTGACACCAGGAAAGTCATGGGGCCATTACACTTTTTTGTTTTTGTTTTGAGGCAATAAGGAGATTTTTTTTTTGTTTACTTACAGACTTGATATTTTGCACTTTTATAGCTAAGACCCCAAATTAAACATTTTTATGTCCAAAACTTGTGTACACATGTTTCATGTGTGTTTTGTATAAAAGGGTGTGAGTTTTATGTTGTATTTCTGGTCCTGTAGCTTTTATTAGAGTTATATAATACAGCTACAGCAGCAGATTGTAAAATAACAGGTTGTTCTGAAAAAAGGATGTATAACACTTCATTAGGGGGTAAAAGGGGGAGTTTTAATAACAAAATTAAGAAAAAAAATCCAGGCGAGGACAAATGTTCTAAAATTGCCCTTAGGTCTGGAAGGGTTAAGAAAAGAGCTACATAAAAAAAGTTATTATTAGTATTGTATGTCTCATCTGCTGCCTGTTTCCCACAAAGAAGTCAAAATCAACACTTCACACAGAAAAACAAGTCTCTCCGGCCTTTAGAAGACTATACACTCTTTCATCAGCTCAGAGTGACTGTAATGCCCTTCATGTGGGTGTGTCCCAGTCCACACTCAGCGCTTCCAGCTTGTACAGAACCCTGCAGTGCATGTGGTAACCAACACCCCCAGACGTCAGCACATCACCCAGTCCTCAGTCTATACACAAATACAGAAACTACTGACTCTAAAAGTAGTTTGTTATTCTTAAAGTCTTGAAGCTGTTAGTTATTTTTGCTTCTTCCCTCCAGCTCGGGGGCTCAGTGGATGGGAACCGTTTCCCCTTTGTCCTGGATTATGAAGAGGGGGACGAGATGGAGGGCGGCTGTCTCTCGGCGCGCTTGAATAAGGTCCTGCAGCCACTTCCTGGTTACCCACAATGCTCTCTGGTCAGTGGAGTGGTCAACTTCTTCCTGGCTCGCACAGACTCGGCCCAGAAAGTGCGATTCGACCCAGTGCTCAAGCGAGTGGCCCACCCAGGTGAGAGTCAGGCTGAGCACCATCTGTCTCCATAACACTTAGACTATATACCATAAACATATACCATAACAGACTATATACCATAAACATAAACATATACCATAACAGACTATATACCATAAACATATACCATAACAGACTATATACCATAAACATATACCATAAATATATACCATAAACATATACCATAAAAAACTATATACCATGAACATATACCATAAAAGACTATATACCATAAACATATACCATAAAAAACGATATACCATAAACATATACCATAAATATATACCATAAACATATACCATAAAAAACTATATACCATGAACATATACCATAAATATATACCATAAACATATACCATAAAAAACTATATACCATAAACATATACCATAAATATATACCATAAACATATACCATAACAGACTATATACCATGAACATATACCATAAATATATACCATAAACATATACCATAAAAAACTATATACCATGAACATATACCATAAATATATACCATAAACATATACCATAAATATATACCATAACAGACTATATACAATAAATATATACCATAAACATATACCATAACAGACTATATACCATAAACATATACCATAAATATATACCATAAACATATACCATAAACATATACCATAACAGACTATATACCATGAACATATACCATAAATATATACCATAAAAATATACCATAAAAAACTATATACCATAAACATATACCATAAATATATACCATAACAGACTATATACAATAAATATATACCATAAACATATACCATAAATATACACCATAAACATATACCATAAATATATACCATAATACCATAACAAACTATATACCATAAATATATATCATAAACCTATACCATAACAGAGTATATTCCATAAATATATGCCATAAATATATACCATAAATATATGCCATAACAGATGACTTTTTTATTTTATTTTATTAAAATAATAGAAAAACATGCGTCCGTACTGTGAGTGGGCTTGCATCTCCACAAACCTGACTCTTATGTGGCCTGGAGGGGGGCTTTCTCCTGCTTGTTTCCATGGAAATATTGTCCCTTTGGTAATACAATTCCTCAGTATGGTATAAAACTTATTTATGCTCTGAAGTACGGTTTGAACTTTCTATTTCCACGGAATCATGCTCGTGATGTGCCACCTCCAGAAAGTTACATCATGTTTCTTTAAGATCCTTATGGCAGGATATCCAGTGAAAACCACTTCAGGGACTTTATCTTGAAGCTCATGGAGAGAAGGGTTTGCAGCTGTTGACAAAGCAAAGGGTGGATACTTGGAGCAACCTGAATGTAAAATATAGAATATACATTACATTTCTTGTATAAAACTGTGACAAATCAGTGGTTTTGTATAAATCTGCTGGGACAGAGGACACAGGCTCAAAACTGGGACTGTCCCGGGTAAACAGGGACGTCTGGTCACCCTAATTTACACTGTAGATTCTGACTGAAAGCATCAAAACAAAACAAAAACTCAAAATAACCCCAAACTTGTTTTACGTGGTGAAGTGAAAACCATTTCAGGAGAATTCATCTCAGCTCATTGAGGGAAGGCAGCTGTCGACAAAGCAAATGGTGGATACTTTGATGAATCTGAATTTAAAATCTAAAATATATGTGCTTATTTGTTACATAATGTCATATATCCTGCATCATATATTTGATGTCTTATGTGTGTATGTAAAATGTAGTAATCATAAAGACAAAAAGCACTGAATGAGAGGCTCTGTTCAGACTTTTGACTGCTAATGTGTGTGTGTGTGTGTGTGTGTGTGTGTGTGTGTGTGTGTGTGTGTGTGTGTGTGTGTGTGTGTGTGTGTGTGTGTGTGTGTGTGTGTGTGTGTGTGTGCGTGTGTGTGTGTGTGTCTCCTCAGAGTTCTTCATGGATGGTCTGGGTTCTCTGATGGTGGCCTCATGTCCAGGCTTGAAGATCAAACACCAGTCTCGCTCCCAAACTGACCCAAACTACGGCAAATACAGACACCCCAACAGAGACGGAGACATGTTGTTCAAATATCACCTGTACTACTTTAAGCACAACCTCAAGTGTATAATGCGCTGGTGACCCACTCGGCTCTTTTCCACGCTTCCATAAAGCTCCTAAATTACTCCGAACAGACTCCCGTGACCTTCTGGTTATGTTAGAATGTTGTTACCTCATCAAAAACAGACCTGGACCTACTTCTCCAAAGCTCAAAATGCTATGTTTCAACTTGTGATGTCATTAAGTGGTCTAGTTTTCAAGTGAACAGCTCCTTCTTACCTTTAGTTCAGCAGAGATTGGTAAATTCTTTTTTTTTTTTTTTAAGTTTTATTTATTTAGGGACAATGCATATTCATGAACATATACTTGTAAATACGCCAGAATTAGCCCAAAGGCGACTTTTCATCTGTTGTCCCTGGCAGGTCAGAGAGACAGAGACATAAAACATAAGAACATAAAACGCGTCACAATAGACAAACACACAAGCATGACATACAACACTGACATTTACATAGGAGCAGAACATTAGTGATCACAGATCTGGTTTCTCTTAAGCCATCGTTTCAGATTACTTTTAAATGAACTGAATGTGGTGGAGTCTCTTATAGCAGCTGGGATGTTGTTCCAGATTTCTATGCCCTTGACTGATCACATCCGTTGACTGAAAGTTGTGCGTCTATAGGGTATTGCACAATCGCCTCTGGTACAGGCTCTTGTTACCCGACCACTAGTGCTGGACTTGGGCTAAATGAACTCACCCAGAGCTGGTGGAGCAAGTCCATTTAAGACTTTGTAGACTGAGCAGGCGAGTTTAAATTTTTGAAAATTTCCAAAACTTAAGATATTATACTTCTGTAGTATGAGAAGTCAACTTTTTTAAAAAGTAAAAAAAAAGTTAGCTTTTTTAAAAAGTGATTCTATTATTTTTAAGGTTGTCACGCTTGTCAGTGGCCATTTAGTAATGCAGTGTTCAATATGAGAGAGAATCCTGCTGTGGAGAAACATTTTAGCTGCATTTTCTAATTCAAATTCAGGGTTGAAATCATCAAATCCAGTGATTCTAGTGAAGGTGTATGGAGTTTAAAAAACACAGTAGAGCACTTCTTCTATCACCACATGTGAATGAAACAAAACACAACTCCAGGTCTGTTTGTGATGAGGAAACTACATCAGAACAGAGATCAAAATAGTGCAATATGAGCCCTTTAACATGAATGGTTGGAACTAGGGATGGAATGATATGGATATTTTCATGATATACATCTCATGGTTCAATATTTGATATTTTGTGGAGGCTAAATTGTGAATATGACACTTCATAAGTGATTTCACTTCAGCCTAATCTCCTTTGGTCATGGTTTTATGTGAAATGTTTGTATCAGTCTTTTAAGTACATGATTAAGTACATGACTGAAGAAAATAAACTACTAAACTAAAACTAAAAAAGTGGGGCAACTTATATATTCAAATGTTCACATTGAAGCGGTGAGAGGTTCTATGCTTGTGTGTGAGTATCTGCTGCTCCTGTTCCTCCTGTACCACTGTCACTTCACTCTACTGCACATGTCTCCTGCAGAAAGAGCCTCTGTCCTGTATGAAAATGTAACATTTAAACAAACTTACAAAGATAACCAAAACCATCCTGTCGGGATTCAGAAAGGCCCGAATAATTCTAACTGGAACTGACGCTGAGTCTGACGACAGCGACACAGAAACGGAAGTGACGCTCCGTTTAACTCCAGAGGTCATGAAGTTGTCCAGAAGTGACACCGAAGATGAAGAATTTAGTGGCTTTAGTGATTTGGAGTGAGATGGAGAGTTTGTTAAACTTGTTCTGTTCTGTTGTTTATGTTATAGTTTATCTGAAGAACTGTGAAATATGTGACGTTAACAGTCTGTTGTTCTCTTCTATTGTTTTTACTAGAACTTGACTTTACACAGGAAATGTTGGTTCCTGGTCTCTAATTTTATAAAAATAAATTTTCCCCATAAAGTGCGACTCTTTTCTTCTTAATTACGCCTTTTTGACTGGTGCGACTTATACTTGGAGCAACTTGTACTCCAAAAAATACTGTAGTGTGATGGCCCACAATATTATTGTGAGACTATTATGTCATGGTACACATACATGTCCAGTGCTATGGACAGGATGGAAATAGCATTACTATTTCTTTTGTGTGTAAAATCCCTCAGTTGTCTCGGTAGAATCCATGGCAAAAAAAAAAGAAATTTTTAGAAATTTGTCAACTGGACAAAAGTTTTTTTGGTCAAATACATTTACAGCTCATCCAAGCTGCTTCTTTAGTTCTCAGCTCAGTTCAGAAGTGACCAAATAAACTTGTCAACTCCATTTGACAAATTCACTTTCTCCTTTTGTCATATTTCTGTTGTGTTTTGTCAGATCTTACATGTTCTTCTATATTCTGGATTATTATGACATTGTACATAGAGGAAAGAAAGAAAAAAGTCCATTTCCATAGTGTGGAACATGCCAGGTAAACCAACGACAGCTGCCCTCTCAGGAAAAAGTCACACAGTGCAGCTTTATAAGACACATATGATGCAAAACTCACTTGGAGTTGTATTTCACGTCAGTCCCTCTGGTTTCTGTAGTCGTCTCTAAAAAATCCTTTCTATCTCAGATTCCCAGGATTGTGATGTCAGAACAATCTGTATCAGAACAGTCAAAGTCCAATTCACAAAGGCCAAAATGAAAAAAAAAAAACTGGGACTAAGTCATGGGCCAAACTATTTATTGAAAAATGTCAACAACGTCTACATGTTTTCTCTTCTTTGAGATATGTAATGTTAAACCTTTTCTTATTCAAATAAATGTTTAATAATAGTCTTACTTAAACATTGAATCCAATCCAAACAGAATATAAAATAATAACAACATTTTAAATAAATAAAGTCTATAGTCTATCTGTATCTGGCGTGCAACTCGAATACAGATTTGATATGACCTCATGGGTTAAACATAATTATATCACAGGCCAAATTTGGCCCCCGGGCCTGAGTTTGACTTGTCTGCTGTACTGTTTAAATCATGGGCCGAGTGAGTTTTGGCAGTGGTAGTTCTCTCTGCTGCCAGTATACATCATGCTGCACCAGATCAGAGGATACTGAGCACTGACGCTGTGAATGATGTTTGTTTGTTTGTTTGTTTGTTTAGTTTTTTGTTTTTTAGGCATCATTTTAAGTTTGAAAAGTGTCAAAGCAAAGGTATTCAAGAGCACGTTTAAAGGCCTGTAACAATATCAATAATGCAACATAATAGTAGTTCTTTAAAGGTGCACTCTGGTGCTTTCCTGGTGCAGGCTCCGTCACCTGTCTGTCTCCATGGAGATTGTATTTCTTTGCCCATTAGTGTGGCATTAATCTGGTCTATTTCCATGGAGACAAACAGGTCAGATCTGTGGAGAGGTGGGTTTTTCAAGACATTTTCGAGCAATAAAAACACCTCTATTTGAACAAATGCAGGATAGATGAGCTTAATGCTACACTGTGGAACATTTCAAGGGAAGCAATTCCACCTAATTACATCTTCAAGAAGACATAAGAAAAGTTTGTACATTTTATTGATGAGTGGATGTTTTCACACTGACACATCTATTGTTAATACACACTGCTGTTGTGCACGTGGGCCAGACACTTGAGCCGTTGGTCTACAGCTCGTAGCCTGGTGGGTCAGAGGTGGTGTGTGAACAGTGAGGAGCTGTCTCCCCCTGCTGGACAAACACTGTAAACACAACCTGCTCTGTTCAGTGGCAAACAGCAACAACTTTTGTTGTTATTGTCATTTTTACATTTTTATTTATTTGATTTTGATCAGGGGCAAATCAAATAAATTCATAAATAAAGTTAATAAATAAAAAAATATTCAAAAACAATGTCAGAATGTCTTTCACTTTTCACCAGAAGCACATGCAGCAGCAGCTCACTGGCCGCAGTAGTCTACCGCTCTCTTTGTAGTTTTTAGTTTTTAGTCACCAGAGCCTTAACCTGCAGATAGAGAACACACATACAGGTCTTTCTCATTCTCAGTTTATGGACAGACCTCATGTGAAACTCAGAACCTCCAGAATTCCCTCCCTGAGCTGCAGAGGCTGCACTAGCACTGACACATTTTAAGTTTAAAACAACCAGAATTTCAGGATTGAAACTGGTAAATCAAATGAGAGACTCATGTGAGGCTCATTCTGCTTTCGGATTGGATAATCGTCTTGAACCAAAACACCAAAGAGTTTTGGCTCCATCCACGCTTACGTCACAAACCAGGAAGACATTTGGAAAGATGCGATTACAACTTCCTAGACCCAGTTTTCTTCATCTCCATGTCATTGGCGTGTTCCGTTATGTTTGACTAGTCAATAATTCCAACCATCCCTCAGTTTTCATCATTTCTCCACTGACACACAACTCTGAGTGCACTGGTACATGAGATTAGAAGAGATGAGACCAAACTCCAGATGATTCCAAACAGCACATACATCTGCGTGCACAGAGTGAATAGAGCCTATTATAACATGAACAAATTATCCATCATGTCCAGTGTTTTTGTAATTAAGAACAAATCAGCATTACAATTTTCATGTGAACCCATTTGCATACTATCTGTGGACACAATAGAATTTAAAATCAAAATGGTACACACTGTCTCTTTAAATGTACATAGTTCACATCAGTATATTTCAGATTTGACTCACAATCTTGCCTAGTGCACCTAGTTTTTCTTTCCTTCCTGGTTGGACACAGGCAGCAGAAATGACACACATAAAGGTAATAACTGTTACCTAGCAACCATAAAGTAAACAATGGCCCACACTTGTACAAACAATAGCTATTTACCACCTTTATTTCAATGTTTAATCTGTCAGAAAAAGTCCTTTCTTGTGCATAAACTGTCTCTACAGTTTTTGTTGCCATAGGCAGAGGAATTCTATTTTACAGCTCAGAGCTACTTTTTAGGATTTTGGTTCTTTGTGTTTTCTCCCCCTCCCTCTTTTTGTTGCAGAGCTTGAGTGGGGCAGGGGGCGTGGCTTCTTCCAGAGCAGATGAGACACACCTGCAGTCAATTC